GTAAGCGGGACATCTAACTAGCTAGCTAGCGCTAAACCCTGCTTGACTCACACTGATAAATGTGTACAGGTAGATTTCACTGCGACGATGTAAAACACAGTAATGGTGAAACATTACACTTTAAACTGAAATGGAACTACATATCTGTCTCTGGTGGAAGACGTATTTTGAAAGCGTTATGAAGGAAGCTGGAGCGCTTCAGTGTGGAGGTAAACAGCCTGTATGATGTGAAGTTAGCCCAGTCATTAAAATGTTTAGTTCAAAACAAACAAACAAAGGAAAACAAAAAGAAACATGTTATTCATTGTGATGAAGCGGACAAATAACTAAAGCAAGGAGGCTACAAAAATATCCATAAAAAGCCAACAAACCCGAGGCCTTCGTATGAGCAACCTGTCTTTTGATTTTCATTGCATATTGTGTACAATATTATGTGTAGCGATGGTTCATTTCACTTTTGAATTTGTTTTTGTTTTCTTTCAAATGTGTTGTCATGTGGGTGCCATGGCAACAGTAGGTCCTACAGGAGGCCCGCAGGAATTTTGAGAAGGGTGTGTCTGCAGACCTGGAGGCTGCACTCTCAGGGCCCTCCATCACCTCCCACAGTGTCATTATTATTTTACCTGTGCCTTTACAAGTAAGTTAATTACACCATTTGCCCAAATGCAAGTCTCAGCAATGAAGTTATTATTGTAATAAGTAGTATTTTGGCTGGAATAAACCTTTCAAACCTCAACTTGTTGGTTAAAAAGCACTATTTGGATGAGAAATATATATTTTTTTAAATTATAGGTACTTGGACATGATGTGGTACTTTGTGTGGAATCGTCCTTGGATCAACCTTGTAAATTATAAATATATTTTGAGAGAAATCATCGTTTAGAACTAAATCACACATTTTGCCCATCATTCATTGTGGTAGGTGACGCAGGGCCCTGAGAGTGCAGCCTCCACGTCTGCACACATACTACTGGGGGATTTTACAGAAGCGCAATAATGGCATGCTTTTATTCTGAACTAAACCCGGAACACGGAAGTGTCGCCAGCGGCGGAGGGACACAGCGCTGTCATATTAGCTGCTGACGGTGTGTTGGTAACACGGCTGTGCTCCTCTGCTGCACACAGGTAAGTAATTCATATTTGACGAGATGTGCTTAGCTGTATTATTAACTGTATTTTAGTAAGTGAACACAGCTAGCATAGCAGAATGCCCCTTGTGCTGTTACGAATTTTGAGCTAAGTTAGCTAACTCTGGCTGTCACTGTATACACTTAGACCTGTCAGTTATTTTATCCAGCTCATGCTAACTTAATATAATAAGACATAAAATGGCTAGTAACTGTTTAAGGCTGTTGCTTTCCCTCTGTGTTTTCATACAACCTACGCTTGAGTTTGTTCGTAAATGTTGAACTTTGACCAAGGAGCTAACGCTAACAAGCGCCAGAGGCCAAGTTAAACAGGAGGTTTGGGAATTTGAATCCTACATGCAGAACACGTTCGTTAGTTTTCTAAACAGAGCTACGTTTAACACCAGATCTAATCCATGTTTTAGTCAGAATGAAGGTACTAGCATGATCCTTAGTTGATACTAGTGTCTTTGAAGTCAGCGATAATTTCAGATATATATTAATGTGAGGTGTATAAACATCCTTTTCTATGTAATAGTTGTTTAAGCAGCTGCTCACTTGTTAGATCAAAACTGTGCAAGATCTAAACCATAATAAGAGACTTACACTGGGGGGGAAATAGATTTTAAATTATTAACCATCTCTTTAGAGGACACAAATCTCAACAGACATTCGGTGTCAGCTTTTGCTATTTGATGTTGATCTGAACAATTATTTGATTTCAAATCGACTTCAAAATTTGAAACAATGCCAACTGCATAGACTGCAGTTTGGAATATGTGTTAAACAGCACATCTGTCCCAAGAATTGAAAAGTTGTGTTCATGGTTTTACAAACCCATGCCGTCCTTCCTGTGTGACTGTCTCACTTTTGATGGTATCTCATGCGGTAGTTTTCCATAACGTGCTTTTGATCTATTACACAGTGAATTTTGAACTGAAGCAGGATTTAATTTTTTTTTCCAGATAACATATCAAATAGGCATATCTGTCAGGAAATTCGTAGTTAGATGTTTTCCTCAAATCAGTCAACCTGAATTGGGGTATATTGTGACATGAGGTCCAGGTGTTTGGCTGGTGGTGACAGCTCTGGCCATATTGTGTCAAACCATAATATCCGTACCATAATGTGACTTTGCACTGCCTGCGTTTTAGCTTTCCAGCAAGTATGTGGATATTCAGGATGTGCAGGCACAGTCAAGTGGTCTTTTTATCAGTTCACCTTTCACACAGATAGTGCCTTTTTCAAGGAAATCACATGTGTCAGAACCCGATTTTCCAAATCACAGTTCGGTTAATAAGGGGTTTGTTTGCAACAAGGGACAGTTTGTCACAAATTCAGCTGGAAATTTTTCAGTTTAAACTTTAGTCAGATTGCTAAAGAGACTGAGTTATGTAAGGTTTGTGAACTGTTAGCGAAGGGTTCGCTGACCCTCAGCTCCACCATTATGCATGCACTACAACCTAAGCTAATCCATTTGAACGCTGTGGAAAGCCTATAGATTAAGCCTTGTAATTAACCCTGTTTACACTCTAAAGACATTCAACTTTCTTATTTCTATGCTTTTGGTCTGTATGTGCAGTTGTTTGAATGATAAGAGAAAAAAAGACACTTAACCCTTGAAAATTTCAACCCTAGGGTGTTAGGGAATGATATTTCAAGATATTTTAACTTTTGTGACTTTAGAAAAAAAAATTTAAATGTACAAATCAAGATTAATAAAGTTACCATATATGGTAGCTTAGTCGTCTACGGTTTTAAAAAAAAAAGGGAATTTATAATAAATAAAAGAAAAAGTAACAAACAAAAATTTTAGTTTGAGGTAAAGATACTTACATAACCAAAGTAAAGTATTTATAAAGTGCTTGGCAAGTTCATGTAGCAACATTGTTCTCGGGGTAGTAGTATTGGCACTAATCTCAAACAATTAATCAAGTGGAGTTCAATGCAAACCAGTATCAAAGCATTTATTAAGTGCCATATGTTTGTTTAGTGACATTTTTCGGAAGGTAATGATATTGGCACTAATATAAAACTAAATCAAAGTGCACATGATAACCCTAACCCTAACCACATAACCATAAATTTGTAAGGTCTATACCTTACTATGCGCTATCTGATGACATATGTTGTAAACTGAGATTGAATTGAATTGAACCCTAACATCCAAGAAAGTTACCAAATATGGTCACTTGCTCCATAAAGGGTTAAGATGATTAAAAAATGAATAAATTAAAATACCATCCTTGCTCCTGTGTTTTTTGTTGTACAGCATTTTAAACAGGTTGATATTAATTCTATTTTTTCTTTTAGATTTAGACTGACACATAGAGGAGGATGACTGCGACTGTGCAAAATCCCTTTCAACATATTGTTGAGCCCTTGGACACCAACAAGCCAACACAGCAGTTTTTCAATCTCTCCAAGCTCGGAGATCCCAGATATGGTAACAACAGATCTTTAACTAAATGTTAACATGAAAGCTCTTGTCAGTGTAACTTTTAATAGCATTTATCCAGCAGAGCTGAACTGTCCATCTGCTCCTCAGACCGTCTGCCCTTCTCTATCCGGGTCCTCCTGGAGTCTGCTGTCAGGAACTGTGACGAGTTTCTAGTGAAGCGCTCAGATGTGGAAAGCATCCTCAACTGGAAGCAGACCCAGACTCAGACTGTGGAGGTACCGTTCAGGCCAGCCCGTGTCATCCTCCAAGACTTCACGTATGTCTTCACTGTTCTTCTGCATTAGAATGTCAGTGAGTTGTTCTATAATGTGTGTTTCTTAACATTGGAATACATTTCGACAAAGTCACAGTTGGTTCTTCAATGACTGTATTCCATTAACAGACTGTGTATGTATCACGGTCTGATGTATCGTATTCTCCTTTTGCAATAGAGTTCAATTGTTGTTCAAAAACTCATTAAAAAAACACACAGACACTGTATTTTGCCACCTGACAACATACAGTATACGGCTGTGAGCACTAAATGTTGGTTAATCCATTACTGAAAATGTTTCTTAATAAATACACCATTTCTCCTGTTTTAGTGACATTTTGTTAAAACTACCACCACCAGATGTTTGATGGAATTTCTTAATTTTTTAAAAAACAAAACCATAAGAACCAGTGGGCTCCTAACTGAGTGCTATAGACAGGAGAGGCGATTAAAAAATAATATTTAGAAATGGACTAATGTATTGCTGGTTTTAGTGGGTTTTATTTATTAAAAATAAATGTGAGTAAAATAAAAATAGTGCACATGTGTATTTTCTAATGTTCACTTCAGATATAACTAAGACCTGTGTTCTTACATACAGCATCACTGATCAACTAATAACTAAACAAGTCTGAAGGTTGATGAGGACGGTGAGTTGCATTGGTTTGACCTGTGGTGTGGCTAAACTCTCTTTGCAGTGGTGTTCCTGCTGTGGTGGACTTCGCTGCCATGCGTGATGCGGTGATGAAACTAGGCGGCAACCCAGAAAAGATTAATCCAGTTTGTCCCGCCGACCTTGTCATTGATCACTCTATCCAAGTGGACTTTAACAGGAAGTAAGACCAGGTTCATCAAACATATTTCACTAGGGATGTCCCAATCAAATTCCCCCCCTCCCCATCCAAAAGTCATTTAATATGTATTATCTGTCGATCCAATACCATTTTCTTACATAATACACACCTCAAGTGTTGCAGGTTAGATTGCCTGATTGAGCCACCAGGTGGAGCCTCTTACTGTCTGTTACTTTATTAACAGAGGAGGTGGCAGTTCTGTGTTAGCAAGCGGCAATGAGCCATGATGACAACAGCGACAAAGACTTGTATGATGCTTGATTAAACCACTATCTAATGGCTTGCTTGCTCGTGCTTTTTTTCCGTAGGTCTGACAGCCTTCAGAAAAACCAGGACTTGGAGTTTGACCGCAACAAAGAAAGATTTCAGTTTTTAAAGGTATGAGATAGTCTATCTACTGGGTTTTAATTCTGGCTGGCTTCCTCTGATCTGTAAATGTGTTCTCTGTGCTTACCAGTGGGGCTCTAAAGCCTTCAGGAACATGCGAATCATTCCTCCTGGTTCAGGAATAGTTCACCAGGTCAACCTGGAGTACTTGGCCCGGGTGGTCTTTAACGAAGATGGGTACTTCTATCCTGACAGTCTGGTGGGCACTGACTCCCACACCACCATGATTGATGGCCTAGGCGTCCTGGGTTGGGGTAAGACAATGATGTTTTGTGACAAGTGTTGTCGAACTCTTCAGGTCTTACATGTGTGCTTGAAAAGTCTTCAGAAGTCTTGAATCCAATAATCAAAAGTTTACTTCTAAAGTTCATGTAAAGCAAAAAATCTGTTGTCCTCCAACTGATAGGTGTGGGTGGAATTGAAGCGGAGGCTGTGATGCTGGGTCAGCCAATAAGCATGGTGCTGCCTGAGGTGGTGGGATACAAACTGTGCGGGACCCCAGACAAGCTTATCACCTCCACTGACATTGTCCTCACTGTTACTAAGGTAATCACAGGCTGTTCAAGTTATGTATGATGAGTATGATTAGTATTCTAGATGTACCATTGAGCTTTGTATATATTTAGTGTCTCTATTATTCTTTGTATTTTAGATTTTGTTACACGTGCATGTAGCCACTATGCTTATTAATATGCTGGACCCATTATACCTCTTGAGATCAGCTGACTTGTCAGATGACCCATCCTAGTTTGTATTTGTAGGCACCATGTCAACCCTGACATGGTAATTTAATACATTTTTATTGTCGTATCAGTACTTTTGTGATGACTCTATTTTTCCATACTGCATATATATATTTTTCCAGCACTTAGAATTCATAGCATGGACATGTATGCTTTTTCTACATTTTTAGCTTTTACAACCCATTGCTCACTCGTCTTTACAACCTGACTGACATCCCATCCTTCCTCCCTCCTCCCTTGTGTTTTCAGCACCTCCGCCAGGTCGGCGTTGTGGGGAAATTTGTGGAGTTTTTCGGCCCAGGTGTGGCTCAGCTGTCCATTGCTGACCGAGCCACCATCGCCAACATGTGTCCAGAGTACGGAGCCACAGCAGCTTTCTTCCCTGTGGACGACATCAGCATTCAGTACCTCGAGCAGACTGGTGAGCATCCAGTGGTGAAATATGGAAATCATGCTTTTTGGTGGCTCAGATGGCTCTCCTCTCATGCTCTTAAGTATGAGTTGGATCTAACATGACATCATTCAGCTTGTGTCATTCAGCACTATCATCACTACATTTGATCTTTTCTTTTTGGATCCATTTTGCACTTATTCACTACAACAAATGGTGACCCAGTTGCTGAAATTGTGGTCTAACAGACAAAGTACTGCTACAAAGTTTATTTCTGGTGTTCCATTACTAAACTGAGATTTTGACCTATTTGTATGAAACTTGTGTCATTGGATGGCAACAACTTTTTCTATATAATGACAAATATTGTCAAGACATTTCTCCTTGCATGGTGACCTCAGGTTAATAAAAGCTTCCCTAATTTATTAGAGAGCCCTTTGTGGTTGATCACAAGGGATTGTTATCATGTATTTCGTCTTTTTTGTCTGGATTCAGGGCGAGAACCAGAAAAGCTGACCGACATTGCAAAGTACCTGAAGGCAGTGGGCATGTTCAGAGACTACAACAATGTTTCTCAGGATCCGGATTTCACTCAGGTCAGTCTCTACTTCATTTTTAGTTTTTTCACAAAAGATTGTTAAACCTATGAACACTCTCAAAAGTTAGATTATTATTTTTTATCAGTGTGTTTTTTGTTTTTTTTTTGTTTTTTTTTGTGTGGAAATGACTATAGCATCAAAGCAGGAAATGATTCAAACTACAAATGTGATTAGAATAAAGTAAATCAGTTATTTAAAAATAAAATTGTCAACATATTTTGCTATAAATTTACCTAATATAAGTTTGCACAGGCAGAGACTAGTGAAGCAAAGAAGCATATTGTAAACTGAACCCTCTCTCCTGGTCTGCTTGTCTTCTCTCGCTCAGGTTGTAGAGTTGGATCTCACCACAGTGGTTCCTTGCTGCAGTGGTCCCAAAAGACCGCAGGACAGAATTGCTGTTTCTTGCATGAAAAATGACTTTGAAAGCTGCCTGGGAGCAAAGGTAGGTTCCAGTGTGCCCTACTTTTTACAGTGCATCCACATTGATCTGGATAATTCTGAAAGTTTCTCCTTTTTTTCCTGCATTTTTACACCCAAAACAATGCTTTTATGAAGACTGTGTGGAGTACATAGATCTGAAAACATTGCTCTTAATTTAGTCTTTCTCTAAACATGCATTTTGAATGATCGAAAAGCAGAAGAGAAAAATTGGGCTTTTGTTTTGTTATGACAATTGGTTGAGTTCTGATCACATAATGAAGCCAAAAAAATGAGTTAAAGCACAAAACATCATTAATTGTTAGTAGGACTGGGTAATAAACACCAATACTAAATGTTTTTGGTCAGGTTTGCCATGCGAGTTCCTCATCTCAATCACAAGTATGCAAATTTTAGACTGCTTTCTTTGGAGTCCTGTATAAAAGATATTCATATTTATCAAAGTATCACAAAACTAGTAGTTTGTTATCGCTTCTAAAACTGTTATTGTTTTAGCTTTAGCATTGGAAAAATGTAGTTGTGAACTTGATTATGGCTCTAAGTCAGTTGCAGATCTTCTTATTGATCTGCTTGACTCCACAAAAGTTCATAATTTACATGTGATGTTCTCAGCAAGGATTCAAGGGTTTCCAAGTGGCCCCTGATCGTCACAGCGCTACAGTCCCCTTCCAGTTCGGTGGAAAAGAATATACGTTGAGCCACGGCTCAGTGGTCATCGCTGCCATCACCAGCTGCACCAACACCAGCAACCCATCCGTCATGCTTGGAGCAGGTGAGTATGCTCATATTGATAGGATGTCATATCGCTGCATTTTGTGAGTGTCACTTTAATCTCGACTAAATTGTCACAGTAATTAAACGATAAACATTCTTATCGCAGGACTTCTTGCTAAAAAAGCAATAGAATGCGGTTTAAGTGTTAAGCCCTACATAAAGACCAGCCTGTCACCCGGCAGTGGAGTGGTCACCTACTACCTAAAGGAGAGCGGTGTTATGGACTACCTCTCTCAGCTGGGGTAAGCTGCTCAAATTATTGTTTTCAGTCAGTTGACTTGATGTGTGGATGATCTCTCACATGCTTGTTCATGTGGAAAAGACAAAGGCACAGTGTGTTCAGATGAAAGTTCATTCTTCACCTTGGAAATCAGTAGTCTGACACACATACACACACACAAAACGGAACTAAATGTTTACTGGGTAACTTTTTCTTGACTTTTTTCAACTTAATCACATAGAGATTATGTCATGTAGATCACCTATAAATGCAAAGACTACATACAAAAGATTATTACCTAAAAAGCTTGGCTGATGTTAGTTTACGACAGCGTTGCCACACCTGTATGTTGACCAATAAGTGCCCAGGAACTGCAGTAACTGAACCATAGTTTAGATGTTCTTATCAGAGATGATTGTTTATGTGTTAAAGGTATGTGTTGAAGGTCAGTGGTCAGTCAGTGTCTTATTATATAATTTGTATATCACATGAGCCTGGTGAGCATTTCTGGTATTTGTAGTTTTAAGTTACGATTCCAATGTGTTTCATAATCAATGAAATGTTCTGTTTTCTGTTTACATCTTAATGCACTGTCAATGCTTAAAATAACAAGATGGCGGCGTCTATTCTGACTGTTTTAGTCAATACCTGGCATTTAACCACATGAATGCATACATTTTGCAAATCCTGTATTGCCATAAAGCAGTCCAGTTTACTGTTTTGCAACATGAAAAAAAAACATTTTGTGCTGAATCATCACAGAGAAACTTTGCTGAAAATGATTCAGTATTTTGAAGCTAAATGGCGACATCTGTAAGGTTAGCCGTGGTATTGCAGTTTTCTTAAGTAAATTAAATCGTGTGGTTTCACAGCTATTAATAGTTTGATCAGTGAAAGTTATTCCTTTTAGAACTGATCATAGTAAAAAATAATTTACTGCTCTACTTTAAAGCACTGTGGCAATGAATGTAACATGACATTTTAAAGACTGATACAGATAGTTGTGATACTTTGTCAGTTTGTAACTGTTGATACTGTGTAAAGTGATCTGTCTCTGTGTCTGTTGACAAATCTCTGTAGTCTAGTCGTATATATTGGCATAATGTCCTCGTCCATTGCACAGAGAAATTATATTTATGCATTTTACCCTAAAGTACTCATGCTGCAGCTGTTGAACTTGTACCGAACGATACAAAGCAACAGTTGTTGTACAGCAGCACAACATGATTTGCAACCATGTAAACAATCGTTTTATCTCTCCTGTTAGCTTTGAGGTTGTTGGGTATGGTTGCATGACGTGTATAGGCAACAGTGGGCCGCTCCCAGAGCCGGTGGTGGAGGCAATAACCCAGGTACCAGTGGTTTATTTTAGATGCTGTTTCCACATCTCTGCTGTTTCATTCCACCTTTTCGGTCTCCTTTTGGCTTTTTTCTCACTCATTTATCAGTACGTCTTTTATTCACAGCTTTGCTCACACTGGCAACAGGAATGTGACACTAAAGTTGTCTTTTCCCTGTTTTATTTCTGTTTGCATGTACTTTATGTTGATCTTAAGTGGCTTTCTTCTTATTTCACATGCTAGAGCAACAGTGATAGATACGTTCACATTATATTTTCTGTACTCCTATAGTCAGAGGTATTAACATTGACTTGTGCTTCAGGGGGACCTGGTTGCTGCAGGCATCCTGTCAGGGAACAGAAACTTTGAAGGGCGAGTCCACCCCAACACCAGAGCCAACTACCTGGCTTCACCACCGCTTGTCATCGCCTACGCAATAGCCGGCACTGTGAGGATAGACTTTGAGAACGAGCCCATTGGTGAGTATAGTCCATATAATAGGCAGAATGCATTCAGTTTGTTTCTGCATAAGAACAGCTGTCCTTAGACACACTATGAGGAACAAAATTAACCTGCCCAGTGCAAGAGCAGATCAGTAAAGAATCGACATGATCGTTATTGACTTTCATGTTTGTGTCACACTGAAAAGCAGTTTTTGAATAAGAGGACTGATGTATGAATTACTATCTGTCGCTTTAGGTAGAAATCCACCAATTTTTCACATCAAATGTTTTGAAGTTTGTTTCAGGTACTGGTGCATACCTGAAATGTTTAATGTAGCTTTTAGTGTTTTAAGAGAGAACTGTGTGACATCTGATAAGTGTCCTTTAGTGTCAATTGGGTCTATAGATGCACATTTTTAACAAATTTCTTAACCAATAACCGTAAGCACTATCAGTCAGTAATCAGCTAGTTCTTGAAACAAATGAAGGACAGTGGATTATTTCATATGCTGATCAAGCTCTTTATAACCTTAGATAAGTGGCCTTTGCCACAGAAGGGGTTTAGTTGTATTAGCACTCGATTAAAAGAGCACTTGTCTTGTAGACTCCGGCTTATCTTGATTGCTTGAACTCTGGCCACAAGCCATTAACCACCACAGAAGTCCTTGTTATGGTGGCCTGTAGCTAGCTGAGCTCCCACAATGCTTACCAAGACAGAACTGCCTAGTCCGAGTGACCGCCTCCTCGGGTTGCTGCAGTCTTTCCCCTCATTGAACAGTAAGAGAAAGTTAGAAAGAAGTCTACCAGAGCTCTCTATCCAACTCATCTTTGCTGCAAGCTAGAGGCTCCAGGCTACATTAGATTTAATACCATGACACGCCTGAATCTCTGATTGAGCCATAGTATGGATGTATGTTGTAGGAGAGCAATGGTAAGTCAGTGAAGTACTGTTACAATAATTTCCATTAGTTGTCAGTTTTGAGTGCTTTTTGTTTTGTTGCTTGGCTGGAAGAGGTCTAAAGCTGACCTGGTGTAGCTAGCATTACAGAGGGCAACGTGAACAAGAGATTAATTTTTCTTTTTGTCAGTTAACACAATGGTTACAATGTTTGTTTGTTTGTTTTTAGCAATTTCTAAAGCAAGATTGTATGTCACTGAGTGATTACAGCACAAAGAACTTTCACATTTTAACAGAATATTTCCTCTTAAAAAAAACAGTCCTCTGAAGCCCAGGGTAGCTTCATAGCTGCAGTTATTGGGTAACATTCAATTTGCCAAGAAACCATTTTGACACATTTTTGTCACTTTGGGTACAAGAATCTAAAGACTACCTTTTCTTTTTTGAATTAGAGTGTGTCTGGGTTTAAAAATTCAATCTGCACAAACATCACTGTTATAATGTGATTTCACAAAGTTGACATTCAAAAAGATTTCTTCCAGTGTTAGCCTAAAGAAGTTAAGACTGACTCATATGGATGCAGTGCAGTCTAAATGTCACAGTGCATCAATAGTCTTTAAATTCATCTAATGCCTCAAGAAGCCATCTTGACTTAATTTCTTGTCATGTGCGTCCTCATCAGATAAGCCACAGTGTTTAGATTAGATCTGAAATGCTTCTTTTGTGTGTACTACTAGTTTTCCCTTTTTGTCAGCCGAAACAAATATTGAGCTGAAAGCACAACAGAAAGCTAGTTTTTAAGCTCTTTAAATGTTGTCCTCTTTCCACTGTTTCATCGTAGCCGTTAACTCAGAGGGCAGAGAGATCTTTCTGAGGGATATCTGGCCCACCCGTGAGGAGATCCAGGCGGTGGAGAGAACATTTGTCATTCCATCGATGTTTAAAGAAGTCTATCAGAAGATCGAGGTAGGGCAAACTTTGTCTGTCGTAAAGAAAAAAGCATTCCACTAGTTTGATATACAGTAATCATATGATTAACAAAAAAATCATGGGGTCTTACTTTGGTTTGTTGCTGCAGAAAGTGAATGAACGCTGGAACGCTCTGGTTGCTCCCTCTGACAAGCTGTACACCTGGGACGCTGAGTCAACCTACATAAAGTCACCTCCATTCTTTGATGGCTTGGTAAGTGTACATAAGACTTGTAGAACTACCACAGATACATCTGGAGGTCCGGGGCTGCTGATATCAGAATATAATTTGTCATTTGTTTCATATCTTTAAGTTCAGCTTAATTTTTCATATTTGGAAATGTGGAAGTAGCACCTAAGTGGTAACGTAAATGAAATCTCCAAATAATCCTTTTGGACGTTTAATCTTAATTTTCAGATCTAGAGACAACTTGCAACTTGAATGTGAGAATGAAAGTGCAAACTTGGCTTTTGCACTAGAAATTTGTCTTGTGTTTAGCTCGTTTCCCTCCAAAAAAATAATTCATAGGACTTTCCAAATCCTTGTTTGTGATGTAAAATTCAGTTGGCTGACATACACCAATTGGAGGACACTTCACAGGATATTTTAAAAATGAGAAAAAAAATTAACCTGATCTTACGAGTGAGTTGCTTGAAAAAGGTCTATGGTCAGGACTTGATGAAGGGTCTGTTTGATATTCAGTGTTTTCATTTTCTGGAAGTAGGAATTATTTCTCAAGGAGTTTTTTAAAATTCTATTTTCTGTTAAACATAAACACCCATCAAACGCTTTATTAGGAACAGCACAATAATACTGGAGTGTGCCTCTCTTTGCTCTCAGAAGTGCCGGTTCTTGGTGTCGTGAATTCATCACACCATTTCTGCAAATCTGTCAGCTGCACATCCATGCTGCCAATCTCCTGTTCTAACACATCCCAAAGGTGTCTACTGGACTCAGATCTGTCGACTGGGGAGAGTTTTGAAGTCCACTGATTTCATTTTAGTGTTCATTTAATCAGTTTGAGACAGTTGAAGACGGTAAACTGTAGCCATAAAGGGATGCTCACATTCAGCAACAACGCTCAGACTAATGGTGGCTTTCGAATCATTATTGTTGATATTAAGGGTTTCCAAAGTTAACATTCCTAATGCCATTAAACCACCACCGGTAGCCTGGACTGCTGACACAAAACAGAATTCATGCCATGTGGATATATATGTGTAGCTGACAGAAGCACTTGCGTATGATGGTGACATCATGTAGTAATTCAGTAGACACTTTAAATGAAGCAAAATAGAGAAACACCGAGGCAGATAAAAGACGCAAGGAAGTGTTTTTTTTTGTTGTTGTGTTATTATATTGGATTTAGAGCAGTGAGTTTACAGTTTATTAAAAAACTGAACTGAACATTTATTTTTTGGCTTGGATATCTGTTTGACTGACAGTTTTATTGATACACTTCTTTCTAAGTAGCAGTCGAGTAACTGGTAGCTTAGCTCACTACACTTTCCAAGTAGCCTGTCCAACACTAGATAACTGCATGAATAAGCAGGTGTATAGGTGCTCCTGATAAAGTAAACGGTAAATGGACTGCACGTATGTAGCGCTTTTCTACCTTAGCTGCACTCAAAACGCTTTACAATGTTTTCTCATTCACACACACATTCATACACTAATGGCGACGGAGCTGCCATGCAAGGTGCTGCTGCCATTGGGAGCAACTTCAGGTTCAGTGTCTTGCCCAAGGACACTTCGACTGTGGATGGGCGGGGATTGAACCACCAACCTTATGATCAGAGGACAACCGCTCTACCACCAGAACCACAGCCGCCCATAGTGCCTTGATGACAGTGTATAAAGTTATATATTTCAATTTTTGCTAAGTTCTTTTTTTAGTACTGCCAGTTTTGGACGACTGTTTATTTTTTTAGGCCCAAATAGAGTACTATTTCTAAAGATAATTCAGCCCCCAAAGTATTTCTACAAAGTGTTTTATCAGACAGTGGTGGTGATCTTATTGTATTGCCTTGACTATCATCCTGCCTTCATTCAGACTATGGAGCTGAAGCCTCCCAAGCCTATAAACGATGCCTACGTGCTGCTAAACTTGGGAGACTCGGTGACCACAGACCACATTTCTCCTGCAGGGAACATTGCAAGAACCAGCTCCGCAGCACGCTACCTGACCAGCAGAGGGTGAGTGACTCATTGCTTCAACTGTAGCAGCAGTCTCTGTCTATTCTTCTGGGTCCATTTTTAGGTAGTCACAGTTTTTTGTTAGTGAAACTAAAAGGCAACACAGAGTTCTAAAACACGGACTTCAGTCGGCTTTATTAATAAGCATTGCTAACCCAATAGTGTGTCATATCCCCTCATCTCCTGCCTTACATAACAGTTGTTGCTGGTGATGTGTCAGCAAGTACACAAATATTGTATGTTCTGTATTTCATATTCCTGTATCCTCTTTAGAAAACAAGTGAAAACAGTCATTTGAATGTAAGTGGAACTAGCCTTTATCAAAATCAACGTCTGTACCGTCCATAAAAGCTTCTGTTATTTTTTTTTTTGTCCATGTGTTTTGACAGTTTGACCCCTCGAGACTACAACTCGTACGGCTCTCGTCGAGGTAACGACGCTGTCATGGCCAGAGGAACGTTCGCCAACATCCGCCTTTTTAACAAGTTCCTCAACAAGCAGGCGCCACAAACTATTCACCTGCCAACTGGAGAAACGGTCAGACTGCAACACCTTTCTACGACTGTTAAAAAATGGTGCTGCGATCTCAGCAAACATGCTTCTCGGTCAGCTGTGCCTTTGTCTCATTTTCATAACAATGAGTGAAGAGACTCTGTCATAAGAATTAAGTAAAGGC